AAGTATACGTTGTCGGCGACTTGGTCCAGAAGTGCGTGGATCCGGTTCGACAGATCGACGATCGTCTCTTCCTTGAACAGGTCGGTGCTGTATACGAACTCGCCAACCAGCTGGCCGCCGTTCTTTGGGAAGAAGTGAATTTCCAGGTCGAACCTCGTCACGTCCATATCAGCTCGCGAGGTGGAAACAGCGATATCTCCTATGGAGAACGGTGCATGCTTGACAGTCTGGTATGCGAGGACGATCTGCGCCAGGGGGTTGCGACTCAGGTCGCGAGTAGGGTTGAGGATCGAAACGACCCGCTCGAAAGGTAGATCTTGATACTCGAATGCCGCCATCGACAGCTCTCGCACTTGCTGGAGCAGTTCCACAAATGTCTTGCCAGGATGTACCTCCAGCCGGAGAACCTGCGTGTTGACGAAGAATCCGATGAGCTTCTCGGTCTCAGGTCGATTGCGATTGGCTATCGGGAAGGCGAAGGAGGCGTCCGTCTGGCCGGTGAGCTGGAACTGGACGATGCGGAAGGCTGTCGACAGGAGCATGAACATCGTCACGTGTTCCTGCTTGCAGATCTGTTCTAGTCGGGCCAGCAGCTCCGCGGGGAAACGATCGACGAAAGTCTTCCCCTCGTAGCTGAGATGCTGAGGTCGTGGGAAGTCCGTCGGCAGTTCTGCCGCCTGACTACCTTTAAGGTGCTTCGTCCAATACTCGACCTGAGGTTCTAGTATACTCTCGAAGTCTTCTGATTGTTGCCACTGCGCGAACTCCTTGTATTGAATCCCCAGCGGGGGGAGATCATAGTCTTTGCCGGCGTCAAACGCAACGTAGATCTCAGCGAGCTCCAGACGGATGACATCAAAAGAGAAACCGTCGACTAGGATGTGATGCATGCATAAAAGCAGGTAGGAATAGTCTGGCGAGAGCTGGAACAGAGTTGCGCGGAAACATGGTTCAAGGTCGAGCGAGAACGGGCGTCTGGCATACTCTCCGATGAGTTTGTGGACGGATCGTTTGTCGACATCGGAGGCCAGGGGCACGACCTCGAGAAGGGGACAAAAATCGATAACTTGAGAAGCTGGAGAGTAATCAATCTCGACGAAAACGGTGCGGAGAATCTCGTGACGAGAGACGATCTCCTGGAGCGTGCGCTCGAGAGCGTCGACGTTCAAAGGTCCTTGAAGCTTCAGGACATAGGGAGTGTTGTAACGAACGTTCTGCGAACCGAAATATGCGAGTTGCGAGAGGAACCAGAGTCGTTGCTGGGCGAAAGATAAGGGGTAATGCTTCCCCTCCAATGGCGCTGCAATTTTCATGGAGACCTCGTGAGATGGAGCGGAGGCGAGGAGTTCTACGATACTGGCCCCAAGCTTTCTAGGGCTAGGGTGAGAGAATATCGTCTTTAGAGGGATAGCCACATGGAATTCCGATTCGAGCGCGGACTTCAGTCGTGTCGCAAGTAACGAGTGTCCTCCAATATAGAAGAAGTCCGCGAGAGGTGATACCACTTGAAGAGACAGAATATTGCCGAATATCTCGCATAGTCGAGCTTCCATGTCGTCCGCAGGTACAACATGCTGGTCGTCCTCAGTGGCCTCGCGAATATCACGACTCGCGTCCTTCTCTGCCATCGCCGCCAATTGTCGCCGATCCAACTTCCCGCTCGTCTGAAGCGGCAGAGCGCGCACAGAGAAGATCCGGTCGGGGACCATGTAGGACGGCAGCATTTCCCGCAGCCGTTCGAGAAGACCGATCTCCACGTGCGTCCTGAACACCAGCTCTTGCAGCCTGGAAGTGGCAAACGGAGACAGGGAGGCCTCATCATAGTCGACGGTCTTGAATGCGACTCGATGCCAGGTGCTAGCGTCGACGTCGTCGAGAGATCCTTTGATGAACACTGCGTCAAAAGTTGTCGTCTCCTTCTGACGCGCGACACTCAGTTTGACCGTCACCTCGTACCGCTCCGCGAGACGCTCCAGGTCCCATGCGGACCAGCCTAGAGCGGCTGCGGCCCCTTTGCGCGAAGGAAGCGCCGAGGCGAGGTCGGCGAAGCGATCTGACGAAGACGAGAAGACGGCTGTCGCTGCCGCGATTTCCCAAGACAGGAACCGATTCGGGATGTGCTCAACTGCGAAGATATTCTCGTTACCGGCGACGAAGTCACGCAGGGCATCCTCGAGGTCCGAGTCCTTCCATCGCAGCGTTTCATAATCGTGCCAGACAGGAGGGGAGATCAAGGACACATCCTGATTGACGTGGAGGATGACCTGGTACCGGAACTGGCTGAACTCGTTGCAGTACTCCATCGCCTTCGGGACAATCTCGACATGTGCAATGGCGGGGATGGTGCGACGGAGACTCGTGAAGAACGAAGGGTCGACTAGCAACTCAGCTCGATGATCTTCACGGCTCAGGAGCTCGTCGCGAAGGTCCTGAAGCGTCCGCGACTTGAGCTCGTCTTGCCAGCCGTGCACTGCGATGTCTATGCCCAAGAGACTGTCGAGGGGAAGACTTCGCGCGTCTCCGATGAGGATACGGCCTCCAGGAGCGCACTTGCCGATGATGTCGACGATAGCCTGGTGCAGGTAGGCTTCCGACGGGAAGTACTGGGCGACGGAGTTCATGAGCACGAAATCCGCCTCGAATGCAGGAAGCTCAGGGATCTTATCGGCGGCGGCATCCCAAATCAAAACCTTGTCGTCTAGGCCAAGCCCTTTCAGCTCGTCCCTTAGACGTTTGACTGCATCAGGTGAGGGCTCAATGGCCCACATGCGGTCGACAGAGGGAAGGATCTGGTGGAGGAAGATGCCGATTCCACAGCCGACCTCGAAGGCGGTCCGTGGGCGCTGTTGATAGAAGGGTCTGAGGGTGTCGTGGAGCCAATCTAATCACCAAATGTGTTCGGTCAGTTCTCTCAGGTTCTCGATATCTCGTGAAAGGGGTCGACTAACCGGTCATCTCGAGCGTCGGAGTAGGTTCTCCAGTGATCATACTATCCCAGCCTGAGAATTCTGCGCGTGCTTTCGCCCTGGTTCAAGCGAAGATCAGCGATGAAAAGCATGATTGTTGAGGTGGAGTGTGCTCACAGATCATAGGCGGAATACATATCGTCGTACACGTCCTTCCATGTGTCCACAACCACAGATTCATCGTTCGACACTGCAGGCTGTGCATCGTCGTTACTAACTTGATCTTCGACCTCTGGATTCTGCTCGTGATTGACAACAACATACGCGACAAGGCTGGGGTCATCGCCATTAGTCGGCTTGTGACAGCTGACGCCAGCGCCGGCGACGAGCCCGGTGCGCAAGATGGTCGCCTCGATCTCGCTCAGCTCTAGCCTCTGGCCACGAATCTTGACCTGTCCTGCATTGATTCGGCCTACGAACTGCAGCTGTCCGTCGCACCAACGCACAGCGTCGCCCTGTAAACACCCAAGCATAAGTCAACTCGCAGCGCTCTGAATCTGTAAAACTCGCTACTCACCGTGCAGTAGAATCTCGTGTTTCCGTGCAGACCGTCGATGCGCAAATCAACAAACGCACTCGCGGTCTCCGTTGGACGGTTGAGATAGCCTTCGGCGATACCCTCGCCGCCGATGATCAGCTCGCCGATGACGCCCGGCGGCACGAGCCGGCCGCGGCGGTCGACGACGAGCGCTTGGCATGTCGTGATGGGACGGCCAATGGGCACGGGTCCGGCGTACGGCACATCGGCATCACCGGGCAAGACGTTGAAGGTCGTTGCCATGACGCACGCCTCGGTCGGGCCGTACGCGTTCGTGAATGCGACGTGCGGGGCCGCTGCGCGCGCCTGGCGGAGGCTTGCGTAATCGAGCGCCTCGCCGCCGGTCAAAATCTGTGTGAGCTCGCAGAAGACGTCCGGGCATGTGGCCGCGAACTGGCGGAACAGCGGGGTAGGCACGAGGCAGCCGTCGATGTGCGCCTCGCGGAAGCGTCGCGCGAGCGCAGGCGGGTCGAGCACATCGAACCGGTCGATGCACACGAGTGTCGCGCCGAGCAAAAACGAGGCCCAAACGTCGATGACGCTCGCGTCCCAGGCGAGGTTATTGACCTGCGCGATGCGATGTCCCGGGCCCCACTTGAAGATGTCGGTGTTGGTGGCAAAGGCTACGACGGAGGACTGCTTGATGACGACACCCTTGGGCTTGCCAGTGCTGCCGCTGGTGTAGAGCACGTAGGCAGCGTCGCTTGAAAAAGACACGGGCGACATGGGTGACGCGGGTGACGCGGGCGAGACAGATCCATCGCGCCCTTCGCGGGTAAACGCAGCAACGAGCGACTTCCGGTTGTCAAGGAAGCTGGACACATCTAGACGTGCAATACGCTCGCGATTGAAATTGAACCAAGGCGATGCTGAGGTGGTGATGACTAGAGATGCGCCAGAGTCTTCAACCAGCGACTCAAGGCGTTCTGCAGGGAAGCGTACATCGAGGGGCACATATGCAGCACCACTCTTCACAATAGCGAGGATGGTCAAGATGGCGATTGCTCCTGGAGGGATACAGAAGGACACAAATGCATGTATCTCCTGTTGTCTCGTAACCTCTAGGATCCGCTGGGAGAGAACTGAGGTAAGGATATCGACTTCGCGGTAGGTCAAGACGAGATCTCCTTCGATAAGCGCCGGTAGATCATGATAGGCGACGACGGCGTCTGAGAACGCCTGGGCGAGCGTGGGACGAGGCTGAAAGGGGATTGGCGCGGGGTCGATTGGAATATTTGCTGCGACGAGCTGCTCAAGCGGACGGGAAAACAGAACGTCGTCGGCCGTGTGGTCGGGGTCGGTGATGATAGCGGTAAGTACATCGAGAAGATTGTCGAGGAAGGTTTGTATGGTGTCCGGCCCGAAGCGAGTCGAGTCAAAGCTTATGTTCACACGCAGATGGTCCGCGGAGGGACAGGCGTTCCAGATCATAGCGAATAAGCTACTGACGACAGCCATTGAGTCGTGTAATCGCCAATTTAAGCTCACGAACTTACCCGTCTGCTGTGCTATCGATGGGGGCATCGCCGAGGTGCACGAGCACGGGGAGAACAACATCGCGAAGGCTGCTCTTGTTGGTAACGAGCTGCGGCAGAACAGTCCTGAACGGAAGCGTGTGGCGCTCTAAGGACGACACAAGCTTATGAGTGGCTCGGACAACCTCCACAAATGTGTCCCCGTCTTCGACTTGCAGGCAGATAGCTAGAGGCTCCTCTGGCTTCCCACATGCGTCGACACCTGAAATCGTGTTCAGCTCGATGTAACGCGGACTGCAAGCAACAAGAACCGGTACCGATGGCGGCACGGACTACGCCGGAATAGCGCAGATGCAGAACACGGACGGCAACAAGCAGGATTTCATACAGGGAAGCAGAGACTTGGTTGCTAAAGTCGAGTAGCTGGGTATACAAGTCGTTGTCGACGGTGACGGATGCGACAGAATCAGTGAAGGAGTTTGGATGAGTGAAGTAGCTGTCTCCAGGAAACTCGACGGGTACGCAGCCACGAAGAGCTTCGGAGGCGAAATTGCGCCGAGCGTCAGGAGGGGTTTCTCCAGGCTGGTCTCCCATCGTCAGAGGTGCGCGAGAGCGGTGGTGATTGGAGAAATTAGACACAATAGTTTCGCAAGGTTCGAGGTCCCAGTATTGCTGCTTAGCGGTTTTCGCTGGTGCTTTAGCTAAGGCCTAAGTATTTCCTCGCATGCAGGCCTTATGTACTGCCCTGTGGCCATGATGCAGCCCACAGATTCACACTGTCTATGAAGGAACAACGGGAACAAAAAATGTCTGTGAGAAATTCGTGCACCCCCCTGCCTATTGAAATGATTGAACTGCAGTATGGTCATCAGAAAGAGCGTGTGGAGACTGGGACCCCTTGGGGAAGGTTCGTTATATTGTGTAAGATCGCCTCAGGTCGCGTCAGGTCACATCAGCGACCCTCTATATCTGGAATTACCTCACGAAACTTTTCACTTTTCAGGACTAATCCTGTTGCTCTCTGGCACAACGTGGATCGAGGAAATATTACCAATCGTTTTCTACAGTGCTCGCATAGCAACCGGAGCTGTCCTATCTTACATTTCCGAAGCTTGACAAGTGGAGAGGTAAGGAATCGAAACCAAAATTTTATTGCCGCAGTCAGGTTCGAGACATTTCCTTCATGAATATGCAGTAGTGAAAGAAAGAAAAAATTGTGTCCGTAGTGTCTCAACATTTAGTTCAATCCTTGGGCCGGTCTGGCTCTACGACCTCCGGGTGCAATTCTCGCTGCTGCTCTTTATCTGCGACGCTGCTGCCGCATGTCAGCTAACTTCTCGTCATCCTGGGACTCAGGACGGCTTTAAATCTCGCGGGAAAATATATCTGCTTCTTGTGCACCCGTATTTCACTCAGCCATTCAGTCAGCCATTTGTAAACGGGCGGAGTCAGGGTTCTGCCCGACTGCTGCCGGTGGCTGGCAGGCAGGTCTGGCTATCAAATTCCCAATCAGGTTGGTCGTGCGGCTGTAAGGCGCCCTTATTTTCACCGCCATTAAACTAATCCGCCATTTCATTGACCTGCTAAGACGCCCATAAAGCCCAGATAACACAATACTTCCCAGGTTCAGCCACGCTGTATGTCATACTCCATCGAAACCTGGAAGCTGTGTGACAGCTACTGGCAGACTTCCATATACCTAGCAGTAGTTCTTTCCACTGAAATTAATGGCGCACCTGCGCCGGCGGGAGCCTCGTGGCGTCTTTGTGGCACTGATGCGCTGATAGTCTCCTGCAGCTTATAAGAGCCCTGTTTCCGGTAAAGCAATGCAATACAACTGTGTCCGTGCCTGCGCCGAGCTAGACTCGGCGACGCGGATCTATCGGTGGAATAGTTCTCAACCTGTGCCTCGCGAAGCGATCGGGGATCTCGGAAGAGCATGCTTCTGCCGGCTCTGCTAGAAGGCTGTGCACCTCATTATCAGATAGCTACCTTGTGCCGCGAGTCACACGGCGGACCGTACCCTCCGATAATCCGCGAGGTACTTTGCTCGGATTTCGGGGTTAGTATGTAACGGCTGCAGTGCTAATCGGTGTTGTCGCCGGCCCCGCGGCGTACCTCCAGAGATCGCCAAGCATTACTCGACCGTTACGGCTGCGCCAGGACAGTATCCTGGCAGACAGGTTGGGATGAGCTGACGCGAAAACTGACGTGAGTGCAATTTGGGGCTTATTGCCCCCGATAGTACGACTGGCTGGCCTTGCTGCCAGTTGCTTCAGTCCGGGCTGTGAACCCGGCACCCACGATGTCGACCGTATATGCCAGCAAACAGTGGAGACACTCACATACTCTGAAAACACATGAAAGAATTTATCCTGCGTTCGCTATGCTCACCATGCTTTCGCGGAGTTTTTCTCTGTTTCTTCCCATTTTCATACGTCGTCAGCACTTACTCTCGGTATGCTATCCGGGACTGTAGCTGCATGGCCGCACTTCTAGTCATGGCAACTACATCGTCATTGACCCGATATCGACAGCGATAAGTGGGTACGCGTATGTGACTGGCATCGGGCTATCGGTTACGAGTCGCACGCTTTTCGAGCTACATCGATAGTGCGATTATTGGCATCGCCTTTAAAGCGCTGCCTCGGCCCTGGAAGTCGGCATAGCTAATGCGTCGGCTGGGACACGCTCGTGAGCAAGGTCGCCGCTGGTCTGTGGGCGGCGTGAGCATTCCCTACCACGCTCGGCTCGTAGGCGAACAGGAAAGGTACGTTAGAGTCTAGACGCAAGTTCGGGGCGGAGTGGATTGCGCACGCGAGGAGGATCCTTTTGCAAACCGCTGTAAGTAGGTCAGTCACGCGTCACGGGTCTGAAAAGTAGCTTAACACATCCCCCAGATTATAGTAGCCACTTTGTGCGCAACATAAAAGCAGCGTGATGAAATAGACGTCACAGGTCACCCCTACTTGGTTGGATAGGCACGGTATAGGAGAGGCGTACAGAATAACGCATGTATCAGTAACGCGCAGCCACCTAGCAATTTAAATGGCAGGTTAATCATATTCGGTGGAGCAAGCATTCATTGCGATATTCAACTCTGCAGGTTTAGCCCTACCCGTCAGTAGACTAAGCCCACACATGACATGGAGATAACAATTTACAGTTTTATGGCTAGACAGCAGCACGGTTGCAGGCCTGCGTCGACAGCCTCGGGGCGAGCAACTCCTCAAAGAGACCTACGTAACGTTAGCTACCATGCTTCTGGTACAAACTGCACACACGTAGCACTACCTTCACAAGCACAGCTGTCTAGGTCTATTATGAATCACATCCTCTGCATTCAGCACATCTTCTGGAGTGAATCACACTACGATAAATCACATTCAGGACGCGCAGGCTATGCAAAACTCGTGGGAACTCACTAAGTTGAACCACGCCTTCTCCAGCTTGACTACGGCGACCTCGAACATCTCCAATAACGGCATGCTCGGAATTGCAGCTCCTCTTTGCGCTCTGACATCATCAAGGCATTCCTGGACCATGGATGAATGCGAGCAAGTTAGAGGATGGGTGTTGCTCGTCCATGTCGTGCACGACTTGCGCCGCGAGATTGTCGAGACTCAAGCGAAATATGAGCATCTTAGGGTGCTTAAATCTGTAGGCACGCACCTACATAGCAGACATACCGTTTTACAAGCTTGCAAAGGCTGTCATCGTCATTTGCACGTTCAGAAGTAACGCTCGCTCGCTCGCGCTTAGTGTGCTATCTGGAACTCGCGGACGCACGACCGCGCTCGTGAGGCTGCTACACATTTTATCTTGACAAATGAATCGTCCTCGACTCTGGTAAACGCAGCTTAGGCGGAATCGAGTGCGGAGGCATGCACTGACATGGAGATGACGGTTGCGGTTCAGAGTCTGATTTCCTTGTTTGAATATTTGGTCTTATTTGCGCTCTCTCCGGCGCTCCATTGACGCGTCCGTTCTTGACCACCTCTGACCACCTCCGTCCAGGAGCTCAACGCGCCGTCCAATACCCAGTACTTTCCACCTAATTTTCGCTTTGTCTTTGCGTTTGCTGCAATTTACTCGCGCAAGGTCTCAGAGCTATGGCGGCACCTTCATCAGCAGCTGATAACAGGGTGCTGCTGCTTCGACGCGCTGAGAGCGAGTCGGCGAGCATCAAAGTTGTCCTTGGCTCCTGCAAGGTATGGCCTCCGACGGCAGCAGCCACCTCACACCAAAGAACCAGTCGCAGCAACTCGGACTGCCGCAGGCGAATTCGATAGTAGGGACGATGTCTCTTGGGTCTCGGCGGTTGTCCTTCATAAGCTTGATAGGTCGCATACCAACATTTGAACAGATGAGCGAGTAAACTGTCACACTGCGCATTGTTTGTTTGACGGCCTGTCTTGCAGCCTTGCCTGCCATGTTGGTGAAGAGTTGCTGTTTACTGGCCAATTACAATGCCCCTCAGAACGTGTCGACTTGGTTAAATAAGATTAAGACATCCACCATGTGCTACAGACGTCGACTGCGCTCGGTCGTTTCACAGATAAGTTATGCGGAAAGCGGATGTGTACGTGGCCAATACCGCCATTGTGTGGCTTGCGATACTGAGCTGCAAAGCTTGCAGACGACGACGAACTCATCATCTTCATTAATAGTCTTTTGCAGCCGAGGGTGGGGCCAGCGCCGTAAGCCTTGATAGTCCTGCTCGTGCACCAGCGAACTCATTCGTCTCAGGCGCCGTCTTCTCGCACGTCTTCAAAGCGTTGATGTCGCTCGACGAGGAGTCCTCGACGCTGCTGCTGTTCGACTCAACGCCAAATGCGAAAGCGACAATCTCGCTCTTCGTGTGCATGGCCTTCCCCATGAACTTCGGTCCGAGCACGACAACGTCCGTGATCACTGGGGGGGGGGGGCTGCTCCTGATGCGACACCGCCCGGCGCGCCGCGGCCTAACCCGCACGGGAGGCAAGATCGGCGCGATCATAGGCCATTATGAGCCAGTCCTTGATCTTCGGCGACGGACATCTGACTATCGCGAAAACGTACGTCTTTCGTCGTCAGAATAGCTGCGCAAATGCTGACGTGGTTCCTGCGAAGGCTGGACCGTGGATCTTCGTGCCTTTTATGGCGACGGGCTTCCAGGATACATTACTCCTGGAGATAAGTCAAGCGACGCCCGAGAAGATGACGCATGACCGGCAAAACCAGTTCATTAGGAGTGAGCTTTGCGCCTGGTTTAACAACTCCTCGCTACGATTTGCTGACAGGATTCTATATTGGCCAGGTCTCACGCGCACCCTTCAAGCATGTTCGTGACAGCAATGTCAGTGCTGCATCGGCCGCTGGTCGCCCTAAATTCTCTGGCGGCCCCTCCAGCATAACCAAAAGGTCCTTCAACACATGATCCCGCCATGTGAAGCCCGTTCTCGCTCAACGTGGCGCTTTCCCACCTGCCCGCCGTCTGCAAAACATCTGTCTTCCCATAATTCCCGTTGATCCCGAGCAATGATTCCTGGTAGCGGTAGGCGCCGGCTCGTTCGGTATGGGATTCCTCCCTACACTAGTGCGAAGCCCTGGATCGAAGTCTGTTATCGTATGGTACGTTTTACTTTTTCCGGGCAACTCGGCATTGACTAAAGTTCATAGCGTTTCTTAGCTTGTACGATATCGGCCCTGCTATTTCCGCGTCATGCGCGTAAACATGTTTGTGACAGAGCCAGAAGCTCCGTTTATCGAGAGGTAATATGTGCTCCAACTTGATGTCACAGTCCCGGTGATGCTGTACAAAGCGCTTCGGTCGTACTCTGTTTGAAGTTGAAGCTGCCTCTCTACGTCTGGCGGACGGTACTCGAGCGCCGTTTGCCTAGTCCGGACAGCGCACTTTCCCACGCCATAAATCGGCCAAGGAAGCTCAACTAACAGCTGTTCCATAAATGATAGACATCCTGCTGGCAGATTTTGAATCTCGGAGCTCGAACTCTGCTAACGAGGGCAGGGAAGACGAGATGGAAGTCGCAGCGGGGCAGGCCGGGTGATTAGTGTGCCTTCTCGCGTTTTTCGTGCAGGCGGTACGTTGATTTGGACCCTGAATGCTGCGTCAGTTAAATACTACTCTAGATGGCGGACATTAGCCCCGACGCACCGACCTGCCTACGCTGAAATGTCTTCTACTCCCGCTCGACCCCCACTCGACGGCTCAATCTCCATCCTTCCGGGATTCGTCGACTTCCATGCTCAGCATAATCCTGAACGGCCCTGGGCCCTCTTGTCCGCTGGACCTGGACTGCCAGTGGACGCCGTCTCGTTTTTGGAGTTTGCTCGTGCCGCCGACAGAGTCGCCCACAAGCTCAGGCCAAACAGGTCAGGTCCCGACAACGAGGTTGTCGCCGTCCTCGTCAACTGCGACACAGTGTTGTATCTCGCCTTGTTGGCAGGAATGATGAAAGCAGGCATAGTGGTATGTTCTATCTTGACTTGGCTCTCGTGGCCAAAAACGCTGAGCACCACGTTGTCCACTCTAGCCATTCCCCATGTCTCCCAGGAACTCTGCACCTGCGATAGTTGACATGCTCAAGCGCACATCCTGCCGCAAGATTTTAGGCCAGGCCAGTATGCATTCTCTGCTCACCGACGTTCAATCCGAGCTCGAGAACGAGAAATATGCGCTCCAGGTCGACTCCCTTCCCGAGCTCGAGGAGATCTTCCCAACCTTGCGCGGAGGAGGCTCCACGGATCTGTGCGAATCTTACCCTCGTAGCAACGAGCCTTTCTCCATGGACGATGTCGTCTTTTATCTTCACTCGTCTGGTTCGACTGGCTTTCCAAAGCCCATTCCTCAACGCCAGGCCGATATGCTCCATACGTGCAGTGCTCGTGCGTAGTTTTTCATGATCGATAGAACGATACCGTACTGATTTTTTTTAAATTTTAATAGCAATCATTGCTGATTGTGCGAGTCATGAGGTCATTTGGGGCGCAATGGCACTGCCCACGTTTCACGTTATGGGTATATGTAATCAGCTATACTCTCCTCTCGTGAGCGGGCTTCCGGTATGTCTGTTCGCTCCCAGAGCGCCTGCGTCACCTGTGGTTCCTACCCCGCGCAACACCATCGAAGCGGCGATGGCCGCCAAATGCACGGGGTTCTTAACGGTCCCTGCATTCGTTGAGGTGAGTTCTGGCTCACATCAAGGGTGCCCCAAGGCGTCTAACTCCATTGCACATGCAGGCCGTGCAAACGGCCTCGGGAGAGCAGCGTTGAACCTGCGGCCGGTGCTGGCAGCAGCTCATTTAGCGACAATGCGGTGTCGAAGCGGAGGAAAACACACCTTGACCTCGGACCACCACCATCTCCCGTTAGACGCCCGCACCGTCTGGCCGCTCTCCAACTCCTCTGCGCGCACCGCCCCATCCCCCTCTCCCAAAATCGCCTCCACCGAGGTCCCAAGACTTTGCGGCTCGCTACGCGGCCCGGGTCTTGTGGATACCGACGCTGCAAGACCACCCCGAGCTGGAGGGGCCAACGCAGCGTCCCATGCTGTGCCCTCCAGGCACCCCCGCCCTGTGCCGTTGCGCACGGGGCACCTGCGTGCGGATTCCCGCCTGTCGTCCTGCGCGAGCGGGCTGACAGGTACTTGGTTCCCCCTCTCGACGTCGAGTGGGCGGGTATTTGTGTGGCCGCCCAGCGCGGCCACTGAGGATCGGGAGGTGCCACTCCGCACACGCGGCGAGGGGCACGCTTTCGGTGTGGGCCTTTGTCAGGTTCGTTGGGGGCCCCGTTTAGGCTGTCCCTTTTTGTGCAATACACCCTTTGTAACCCTCTTTGTCGCGTGTGGGCCTCTGGCCACCTGTGTGACAGATGGTATAAAGCTGACCACGTCGCGACACCAGGGTCCCCTCCAGTACCACCAGCACCTCCTACTGGACTTCGACTCTGCCTACATGTCATCCCATCCCACGCCCGATGCTGCCCTCTCCCAGAGGCTGGACGAGTTCCTCGGCCAGCTCCAAGATATTTCGACCGGCCTGGCGGCGGTCGGCGATCCGCTGCGGCGTTTCGTGGCCTCCACGGCCACTGACCCCATGTCTGCCACTTCTGACTTCTCACGCGCCCTGGGCTCCCTCTTTGCCGCATGGGCCTCTCTCGTTGAGGGCAACAACGGCCAGATGGCCGCCCTCCTCCCCCCCTTTGTCCAAGTCCTCCAAGGGCAGTGTGCGGACGCTGTGAGGCGCATACGCGAGCTTGAGGACCGCCTGGCATCTGCGCACGTCGTGAAGCCCTCCGACGACCCTGCTCTCATGGAACGCCTGAGTGGCCTGGCCGCGAAGGTGTCTTCTCTCAGCGATAGGTATCAGGGAGCGGCCGACAGTTCAACATTGCCTCCCATGGGCCTGCATAGCTCGATTCACGCCCCTGCTCAGCTCGCTCCCTTGCAGGGCCGCGGGAAGAAGCGGCCTGCAATCTTCCCGGCTGAACCAGCCCCCAACCAAGAGCCTCCAGCGAAGCGGCAGGCTCTCGACCTGTATGCCATCCCGCGCGATTGGGAGTGGGGCAGGATCGCTGCAATTAGCCCTCTAATGGATGCGTGCCGTGGTCGCATGCCGCCGGAGTCAGCCCTGGCTCTTACCAAGGCCTTCGAGTTCCGCCCTCGGCGAGATGGCACTGCTCAAGGGTCGCCTGCTCCGGGCACCTATGCGGCGGTTGCGGGTGCCCCGCCACACTCGACGCCACCGCCTGTGGCCCTGACTTCTACCTCGTCTGCGCCCGCTAAGGCTGCACCGGCCCCGCCCAAACCCAAGCCGAAGGCCCCGGTTGTTCACGTCGCGGCTCCTCGGGAACCTACAAAAATCCTGCGCGTAGTCTTCTCCACAGCCGTTACAAACCTGGCTCACCGGCGCGACGAAGCTGACGTCCGCGCGTGGGTGCGCGAAAGGCTCCAGCGTATTGGCGAGGAGCCTAACGAAGTCGTGGGGCTCCACTGGCACGAAGGTGGCGTCCATGCAGACATCCGGTTCCAGGCACGCCCAACGGTGGCTACACGCGACTCTGTGAATGATGGCGCGGACTGGCTCGCCAACGCTATGGGGACAGCGCGCTCGGCCACTGTCGACTTCTACACACCTGTTACACGCATCGCGGTGAAGGCCCTCCGCACCCGCCGTCCAGGTACCGACCTTGAACTAGCGTCGGAGGACATAATCTCTGCCATCGCGCAAGAGAATGCCTGGGTCGCTGGGCAGCTGCTGCAGCACAACCAGTCACCCCGACCCTTCTGGATGGACGCAACGGGCGGTTCTGGCACATTCGTCTTCGCTGCCTACGACAATCGTGACGGCACAGTCAGCGAGGGCTGGTGCAAGAAGCGCCTCCGAGTCTTCGGCGTTGAGCACAGCATCCAGCGCCATGACACCACACCGCGGGTCCCACTCTGCGACCGGTGCTGGCACTGGGAGCACACCGGGGGGTCCTGCAGGGCCGCGAAGCTTTTCTGCTCGAGGTGCTCACTGCCTCATGTCGATGTTGATCACGCGAGGTTCTGTGTTCACCCGGACTGCCAGCAGGCGCGCCTCGACACTCTGGTGGTGCGCACCTCTTGCTCTCACGTGTACTGTGCCAGCTGTGATAGCGTCGACCATGCCCCGTCGTCTCGGGAGTGCCCTTACAGCCGCCGTGCTGGCGATCGGGACGCGAAGAAATGGTTCTCTCGGCACCCCGCGGCGTTCTCCGCGCAGGACATGCGTCAGCGCGGGAAGATGTATGACGGCGAAGTGGCTGTCGAGACCGAGAAACAGCATCGACAGGCCCAGGCTGGTGTGCCAGAGCCTGACGACGATATGTCTTCCTAAGTAGTCTGGAACTCTTGTATAATTAATGAGTAATACACCTGTTCAGCCCTCTCCTGTGTTGTCTCGTGTGCCGACCGACAGTGGTTCGTCGCATGGGGCTCCGGTGGACTCCGACTCGGGCTTTGCGCCTGAGCTGCCACCTCCTCTTGACATTGATGAGCTCCGCCGTGCTGCGGGTCAACGTGCATCCCACTCTGGTGCAGCGCCGCCTGCCGGGGCGGTAGGCAACGAGGGACGGGCTGGTACTGGCCCTGCACAGGGTAGCAGCTCGGGGCGGCCCATGCGATGTATATCAGCCAATGTTCAGAAGAGTGCCCTCAATCTTGGGTGTTTACTCAATAATAACCGCGATGCTGATATCGTGCTTGTCCAGGAGCCCTTCAAGGGCCACATCAAGCTGGTTGCATCGTCAACGGATCCGGACGGCGAGTCCTATTTCTATACCACTGCCCACCGCGATTTCATATGTTTGGGGTACTCTGATACCACAAGGGTTCTAGTATATGTTCACACGCGGTGGCGCGGGGCAAGCCCGCAGCTAAGACTATCCGCAGTTCGCCACGATGACGCCCTGTGCGTCACTATGCGCGTGGAAGGGAAGGACATGACATTTCTGAACATCTACAACGACTGCAGAACATTTGCTGCAGTAGATTACTTGCTTGACCGAGCGGACGTGCTGCCTACCATTGCTTTTATGGCGGGGGACTTCAATCTGCGCGACCCGCAGTGGGACTCTGGCCAGCGCCGTCCGGGTGCCGCCTCACGCCATCTTGCCCAACGGGAGCGCCTGCAGGAGCTTGCACAGGAACAGCTTGGTCTCACCCTTGTGAATGACCCAGAGGGGCCTCCAACGTGGCTCACCAGGAAGCTGTCTGAGAGCGACGGCGTCCTGGACCTGGTGTGGGTTGATCCACAGCTGGGAACTGTGGATGGGCTCTGTGTTGACGATCTGGGCCGCGGGGCTAGTGATCACGCAGTGCTGCGATGGACCCTCCCGGTGCAGGGCGAGCCGACTGTTACTGCCAATGTCAAACGCGGCTCGGCTGAAGGGGCGGCGTATGTGAGGCGGTGCCGCTCGCTTGTCAATGCGCTGCCGCTTGAGTACAACTCACGCGACCAGGTCGAGACTATTGGCAACTGGCTCGGACACCGGCTTGATGATGCCTGGGCTGAGTTTGCGACCACGCCCAATGTCACTCGGCGATCCAAATCCTGGTGGAGCGCGGAATGCAGCGCGATCGTTAATGAGGTGCGAACACTGCGGACGATGCGCAAGGAGCTTGTCGTGCAGCGCAAGCGGTGGCAGGCTCGGGTGGTGCATGCTGGGCAGAACTTTGACATGGATTGGCATCGCGAGGTGCTGCAACTCACCAGAGAGGTTGCTGCTGTCACAAGGCGCATCGACGAGGCAAATAAGCGCATGCGGGGGGCTGTGCGGCGTGCAAAGAGGGCCCACTTCAATGGCCTGATTGCCAAGACTGACCCATCGAGGATCTGGGACTTAGTTGGCTGGACCAAGCCCCGCCGAATGCCCACAACCACAGGGCTTGTAGACCAAGCGGGCGTACCGGTCGAAGAGCCAGAGCGACTTGCTGGGGTGTTCCAGGAGCAATTCACGCCTGCGAGCCCCTGCCCGGTGGATCCGTCAATCCTGGATGAGATGCCGCAGCGTGAAGAACGCACCTTTCCCCCGTTCTCCACGTACGAGCTACGTGAGGCCATTCGCGACACCAGCAACTTTTCTGCACCTGGGCCCGATCATGTTAGCTGGTTCTGGCTGAAGCGCATTGTGAAGGACCAGTCCGCGTGTACCTGCACTGAGAATGGCCATGATCACCTTGACACCGAAGTGTGGGTCCTGGCTTTCTATAATGCCTGCATCCAGTACGGGATTCACCCCACCATATTCAAGCGTTCACGCACAGTCGTTCTCCCCAAGCCTAACAAACCTGACTACTCCAAGGCCAAGGCGTACCGCCCAATTGTGCTGCTCAACTGCTTGGGAAAGCTCCTTGAGAAGATGATCGCGTGCAGAATGCAGTTCGACTCACAAAAGTTTGGCATCATGCACCCGTGCCAGTTCGGCGGGGCCATGCAGCACAGTACGCAGGATGCCGGGATCCAGCTGGTTCACAACATTCAGCAGGCCTGGAAGCGGGGCGTGGACTCGACTGCCCTGCTGCTCGATGTCTCGCAGTTCTTCCCATCCATCCACCATGGCATGATGGCTGCGATCCTGCGGAAGCAAGGCTTCCACAGCAGTCTGTGCACGTACTTCGAGGATTATCTCATTGCTCGCCAGACTGAGTTTGTCTTCAATGGTCATCAGTCCGACCCGACAGACTTCTCGATAGGTGTGGGCCAGGGGTCTGCGCTCTCCCCGGTCTTGACAGGCCTCTATGTTTCCCCGGTGCTGCACTTGGTCATGCCCGTTGACACTGTGCTCGAGGGCAATGCTACGGTGGAGTTCTATGTGGACGACGGCCTGATCCACGTTGCAGGGAAGCTTGCCCCGCAGCACGACCGCTACGACGGCCTGATCTACAATAACTGGCTGATCAAGGGCGTCTTCGGGTCGATTGTGACGCACCTTGGGCGGCTGGGCCTGGGGGTCGAGCTTGACAAGCTAGAGCTTATGCACTTTCGGAGGGCACGGGAGCAGGACTGGAGTGAGAGCGAGCTGCTCGGGCCGAAGCTGAGGCTCCACATTGATGGGCAGCTGCACACTGTTCAGCCTAAGCGTATTATGAGGTACCTTGGTTTCTACCTGGATCCGAAGCTCTCCTTTCGGGAGCACGTTCGGCTCTACACCACGAGGGCGTCCAGCACCATCAGCGCATTGCAGATGCTGGGGAACTCGAACCGTGGACTTACCCCGGTGGACAAGCGTCGCCTGTACATCTCGAATGTTCTCCCGATCCTCACATACGGCGCCCAGCTATGGTGGCACCCGGAGTGGAAGGGCAAAGTCTGGATTCAGAAGTCGCTGCAACGCGCGCAGAACCGTGCTGCCCGGTGGATCACTGGCGGCTTCCGCACGACTCCAGCCGGGGCCCTCGAGATGGCCGCCGGGTTGTTCCCTGTGCGACAGCATGTGGACAAACTTGTGAAGAAGGCGTGCCTGCGTGCCCGCACCCTCCATGATGGCCATCCCACGCGGGCGCAGCTCCTCCACCCATCGTGGCGGAAGGGGCCGCAGAACATTCTGGCCCCGATGCCTCTGTGTGGCCAGCCCTCGCGGGATGGGGTCACTCCCATGTCTCACGTCGATCGGCTGGGCCGGGCTTGTACCGAGGAGTTCGCGGTCCTCGACGACGAATGTCGCCCCGGCACCCGTGTTAAAGATGTATTTGACGACCAGGTGACATTTCACATGGATGTCGTGGACGGCGAAGCGGCCCCTGTAAAGGCGAAGGGCGACGAGCTCAAGCGATGGCTTCGCGAGCGGTTCGTCCCCATGGTCGATCGCGTTGAGCGTGACCCGGCGTGTGCGCTAGTCTTCACGGATGGCTCCCAGAAGAGGGGAGAGCACATACCGGGTGGCGTTGCTGCGGGCGCGGGCTGGGTCGTTAAGCACTCGGGTGGCGTCCGGCGGGGGCATTTTGGGTGTGGAAAGGCCACTCCCTACGACGCCGAAATGGCTGCGTTAGCGCGGGGCCTGAACGAGGTCGTACGGGACTTGCCCGGTAGCGTGACTGACATCCACGTATTCGCAGATAACCGGGCGGCGCTCTTGTCCATCCTGGCTGCGGGGCGAGGGCCTGCACAAGGGCTGTCCGTTGCGGCCTGCCAGTCGGTCCGTCCCTGGCTGACTGCGTCGCCCGCGCATCACGTCCATGTGTGGTGGTGCCCTGGTCACAGGGGGGTGTATTGGAATGGTGTGGTCGACAAGGCCGCCGGTCTTGGGGCGGCTGAGCCGTCGGACGAGGTGTCCTTCGCCTATGCGCGGCAGTGCATCACTGCCGATGCCTATAAGGCGTGGCGGGCAGATATGCACCGCCTGCCCTACCGTGGGCGCAACAACTTGATGCAGGTGTCTGACTTCGAGCGCTGTAAGCACACTTCGGCCAACTGGTTCCTGCGGACGGCAGGACGCAGCACCACGTACATGGCGCGGCTGATTCGGTTCGCGAGCGGGCACTTTCCGCACGGTGCGTTCCGCGAACGTTTCAACTTCGAGGGGAACCGGCGGTGCTGGTGCGGGGCGGATGTCGAAACTCGCGACCACATTTGGTTTGACTGCGACTTGTGGATCAAGAAGCACAAGCCCCCGGACGCCGAGATCGAGCGTATGCGTCGGGGCGAGCGCGGTGTCCATGCGGCCTTGGATCTCCTCCCCCCTACGCCGCCAGGCATGAGTCTGCTGGAGCACTTCCTGCAGGACTGGCGAGAGACACCGATCGCTCTCGACGACGTCGCGGAATTCCTGCGCCTCAACCCGATCGTGGGCACCTTCACCTGGCTGGAGCTGGTCGACCAGGCCTTGGGGGATCGGGCGCGCGGCGAGGACGACTCCCTGGCGCTCCTCAAGGTCGACCTGCACACGGTGCGGCGCAAGGCCGCGTATGAGGCATGGTATGCTGACCACCCTAAGGGGGACCTCACCGAGTTTGTTCAGTCGTACGCCCTAGTGGCGACTCACGCCGTGACTGATGCGTTCGAATTTGACGATGCGGGTGTCGCAGCGCTGCAGGCTGAGTTCGGGCTCGCGGCGGCTAAGGCAAAGAATCGTTGACTTCCCGGAGGCGCCAGGCGGGCAGCTTCACGCCGTCTACCTCGTGCTGGCTCGCGTTCTCTCCCACTTTCCCCTCTCTCTTCTTTTCCTGCTCTGTTTATTCGATTGTGTGTGTCTGTCTCCCCTGGTATGTAATTATTAGGTGCTCATGTGCCCCGTTGTACGCACTCTAAACTCGCGGATTTAAAAAAAAAAAAAAAAAAAAAAAAAAAAAAAAAAGAAGCGGAGGAAAATCTGAGTCACGCTCAGGACATGCTCTATGTTGCACCATCGCAGATTGTAAATTGTGATACCGTATTTGTTTCTGCTATTAATTCTGGCACCGTCAAGTATTGTGCTTGTACTACTCGTGTGTGCGTCGACGGAGCGCTGGAGGAAATCCAAATAGGACCAAACATTTAAATAAGGCGACAGACTTTGAGCTGGACCGTAACCAATATCCCCATGCCGGTACACGCATCTGCACTTGAAGCTTTGAAGTTTGACCCTACCTATGCTTCGGTTATCAGAGTCGAGGATGGTCCATTTGTCAAGATGAGGAGTACAGCGAATTCCCGACCACGGCTGTGCGCTCCCGGTCCCAGGTAGTACCAAGCATAAGTACTAAGTGCGAGTAAGCCTACATATGTACGCGCGTCGAGGTGCTCATCTCTCTGCTAGAGCTTTGACGATCACGCATCGCAAAGTGCGTACGCCATGGGCGAGCAGCGCATATCTTCTGGTATGCTCGCATCCGTCCTTGGCCCGGGGATATCTCGACAGTGTCTGTTCGGGGAGGACGGGCCGCGTTTCTCGGCATGCCGTCCTTGGAGTTGTTTGAGGCCATCGCGGTCGAGTTGGAGAAGGCGTGGTTTGACTCAGTGAGTTCTCTCAAGCTTTGCATAAATTTCATGTCCCCAATGGTTTAATTTTCCTAGTGTGATCTACCCCTGAAGGAGTGCTGTGCTTGGGAAGGTGACGATGCGTGCGTGTAGTTCATAGCAGAAGTACGGTCATTAACGCTTCGTAGACTTGTTTGAAGAATTGCTCGCCTCTGTGCCATCGACGCAGGTCTGAAATCGTGCGACCGTGTATCCGAACATGCAATTGTAAGCTGTCGTGTTTATACCATGCGTAGGCTTGGTTTGCTGACGGGTAGTGTTGGACCAGCAAAACAGACGATGGCTTCCACAATGAATGTTTTGCCCACCGCCACTGCATGAGGGCTTCTACCAAACGCGATGGCCATGTCATGTAATTTGGGGTGTTGCTTCACGCTACTAATGCATGCGTTATCCTGAGCGTCTCCCCTAAGCCTACCTGTGGCACCCACTCCACAAGTGGCAGCTGCCACAATCGGGGGGATGTCTCGGGCTTATGATGCTTGACTGCTCTGTCTAGTCTAGCAAGTACAGCACTATTTTCAATACGCGGAAGGCAACAGTCTGCCAACGCTGCGAACTCGCGTCTCATGCATCACGCCGCAACTTCCCTGCTCACTTGCGAGCCGAGTATGGCAGGTGCCGAGGCACTGTACGGTGAGATCGGCCATGACGCTGCCGACGTAGCTCGGGAAACGCGCGATGGTATAGGGCCCGTGCGTGACGAAGAAGTGCCCCTTTTTCCGTGGTGGGCTCTCGCAGAAAGCGTGTCTGCGCTAGAACTAGACTTATCTCCGCCAGGGCCAACTCTCGACCTCTACAGCGATCAGTCTCGGCGGACTCCGTGCTTCCTCGGGCCCTGTTGGAAAGCTGCACAGTCCATGATCAAACGGCTACCCTGCCGATCCGAGGTAAGGGAGTCTTGCCAAGGGTCTGTGAGTATCGCGAACGACGGGGATGATGACACCTGCCAACGATTCAGGGAATCGCTCGCAAAGCTCAGGAGTGTCTCCACGCCGGTATTTTCCCAGCTTTGCTGCGGGGCTGTTCAGGTCAACCTACTAGGAGCCTGAGCCTCGGCCAAGTGCTCGTTTGCAGCTGTTGGCAATCGGCCCAGCTCGAAAGGAGAACAGTCTCTTTCATCTCACATTTCCGCGAGTCTCTGCACGATGCCCAGCACTCCAACAGCACCAGCAGCCTGACCAACTCGAACTGTCATGTTCGAGACATGTTCGCAATTATATATCTTATTCTTCACTAGCTACCCAGAGATCCGCGGACAGTCTACATCGCTTGACTGAAACTAGTGGTTCTGCACATCTTCGTGAATGTCCTCTCCTATGAGAACACTGATGGCAATGGCGAGTCCATGCAGCGTCGGATGCTCGAACACAAAGTTCTGCGATACGTGAAGGGCGAATATATTGGTCTGAGGGTCAGCACGGAGAGCGTTGATAATGCGGGTCCGGAGGAACGTGGCATGCAAGCTGGTGGAATTTCAGCACGATATCCTGTGTGACAGACAGGACTGACCTGTCGAATCCCTGGTCAAACAGCTCTTTAGACGGCGAGATTACATCTCGGCCATTGGATATAACGGAAATGTGTTCTAGGAGCCAGGCTTGTATGTCGGGCACAGTCCACGAGGACGGTGGGCGGATACTTTCAGAGATTCCGCTGTCCTCCAACATCGCATATCTGAATGAGGTGGTTGTGTCAGCCGTGAAGAGTAAGTGCAAGTAAGAAGTTAGGCCCACTCACAAGTTATTTATCTCTTTCTCATAAGTTTTGAGTGCTTGCTTCCGGATAATCGTCCCCTTGGCGGTACGAGGTAAGGGCCTGGCGCGCTCTGTGACAATAATCATTTCCTTGAAGATTCTCGCGAATGCCGGAGCCGTGCGATTCGCCTCCTCAACAATCGGCCTTGAGAGTCTTGAGCGACAATGTTCTGAAGCGTAGCAAAATGGCATACCAAAGCTTGTTCCTGAATTCTGGCAGCGCGTTCACGTCGTTCGGGTTGACAGCATGACCTTTCTTCGGTTCGACGAGAATACCGCATTGGCTCTTGCCCCGACCAAACATGACAACTCCTTGGACCATACGCGACGAACCTATCACCCCTTCCTGAGGGATCGGCACGACTTTCTCTCCTGTTGGAGATCGTCAGAGGAGGTCTACGTGAAGGGATGCAAAATCACTTGCCCAAACCGAGGACGATAACATCGTCCTTGCGACCAATTCTGGGTCACTATGGTAACTATCTCTTCCTCGCGCAACAGCTCAGCAAACTTACATGCGCCACAATCCTTTCTTTGATGGATGCGACTCCCACAAATCGCTTGTCGCGTACCCCTTCGTGTCCTCCAGATTCTCCAGATTAGGGCGATGCGTTGCACATGTCTATCGCGTGTCAACCATCGATGGTCCGGCCACATATTGTTTAATGTCAACCAACTCACCAGATACTGTAGCTCAAAGGTGTTGTTTCCCTCAGGAACCCATCTGCACGTCACGCGGTCGGAGAATGACATCCATTCCCAATCTGCCTTCGTCTTGGCGCCCGAGGCGGGATTGGAAGATTCGTCCATGTCGAAGACCTTCGTATGGGGTCCAAACTCGGTGCCCCCGTAGCATGGGTACAGGTTGACGCCTTCTGCTATGAGCTCGCCGCCAACCTTGGATGACAGCGGCCCTCCGCCGAAGGCCTTCGAATCGACAAGTAAGCGACAAACAGCTGCAAATTCTGCCAGTTGTACTCACGACTATTTTCAAAGTCTTCAGGTATTCGATGTCATCCTTCAATTTCACCCACGCCTGCCCTTACGAACCTTGTCCAAGCCCAAATAGGGATGCTGTTGCCCAAATAAACCAGCGGTTTCCCAGAACGGAAGACGTCTGCTGCATCGCAGACAGTGGCTGTGGCACTATCCTTTGGAAATTCATTCTTCACAATCTTGCTGAAAACTTCAGTCAGCTCACGAAAGAGCTGTAGGCCACCTTCGTGAGGTTGTCGCACGCCTTGTTTGACCACGGAGTACTCCTGGTGGCTGCAGTTAGCAAGGGTACAGGATTGAAATGGTGATTCTGTTAGCAAGCATTACGCACATATCCGTCAATTTTGACACCAGTCTGAGCATTGCCAATAAGATCATTGATCAGGAACAGCATGTAAATGCAACAACTTACCGACACAGCGGTCCTCTTGAAGAGGACGAGAGTAACTTCCTTGGTTCCTCCCCACAGAATGTTATCTGAGCGGTACAATGGGCTCGAGGGCACCATATGCAGTGTAGCCTGCCATCATGAATGCGTCATTCAGGTGCTGGTCGATTTCGTCAGGAAAGCCCATGATGCTAGGCCGCTTGGAGTACTTCCTGAAAATCATCCCTATAGTCATCATGGCAGAGACTACGAGGCCCCTCGGAGACCTTGAGGGCGAGTGCAGCATAGTAAGTACAGTGAGGCTTGCGGAGCCAGCTTCTTCTCGACATGTAGCAATGACTCGCCAACAGCAACTTCATGGACGATGAGACCATTGGTCTTGGAGCCTGAGAGTACACCGTCAAATATAAAATCGCGTCCATCCAGGATTTCACTCCGAGAGTAGCACATAAGCATGGTGTGGGAGGCTTCATCGAATTTGATCATATCTGTGAAGCAGTAGTTGAGGAAGGCCACAAGTGCTTGGTGAGGGTCACGAGGTGCCAGCATGACCACGAAGGAGTCGATTGAGTAGTCTATCCTGGTATAATTGTATGTCAGACAATGATAGTCGAGTACAGATAACCTTATTATACTTTCGAAGCGCTACATTGGCTTTGTCTAGGACAGCATCCCAGAGCTCAGGGCACTGCTCTAAGGCGGCATCCCACTCAATTTCAAGCTGGAGGAGTAGGAATGTAAGCTGATTCATGTACAAGCACAACTGAGAGGCGCACGTATCACTCAGACTCGCCCTCCAAGGGATCTTCAAGCTCGCCTGCCCATGTATTGATCGCCTCGGCAACAATGCCAGTGGAGTCCTTGCAAAGTACCACAATAGGTGCAGTGGTCTGATCATGTGTTGCCATAGAAAGTAGGTTGGAGTGCGTTGCGCAGAAGGCACAAGAAAGAGAGATAAGAGAAGTTGAAGCAACCTGTCGGCCCCTAGAGTCTTAGACGTAATAGGTCAGCCGCCAATCGGAGGCTCCTTCCGACTGCGCGGTACAGTCCGATGTTGCAATAGAAATTGCTGCGTTTAGGCGCTTGCAACGAGGAAGAGGTATTGTGGCCGTCTGAATATTTGGACAGGTCGACGGCTCAATGTTCGAGCTGCGACTGAACGGGGTCGGCCCCTCTTTCAACGCCACGAAGCCGGATGTCACGTGCTATAAAGACGCCCAATTACCACAGGCCGCAACTAGTTTTCGTGCTTGAAGGTCCTACCGAACAAGACTAAAGCTTTTGCTTTTATATCATCTCTTTTCCACGGTATTTATATCGTTGTAGGCGTTCTTTCGCGAGCTTTTGTGGAGATAGACGCGTGCTCGCCCGCCAGCGTGTATAAACGTGCATTATCATGAAGTTTGAAAGACCACTGTGCGTGAGGGCGGATGTCCTAGGCAATCTTACTCTCGTTAGGCATCCGTCGTCGTGCAATTTCGGGCACCGCATATCGTCGTGCACGATTATGCATCCACGGGTTACAAAACTTATCTTGGGTTTATTGACCATGCGGCGACGACGAAGGCTGCGCGCGCGTACTTGCGGCAGCGACGAAACGTGAAGTACATAAAGCACAAAAACGTTCACGAACTCGCACGCCGGCATGCCATCGTGTTCGATCGTATGCCTTTGCGCATTTACGTGCGGTTCCGCGCATGCTCGTGCGCGTCCAGCACTCCTGCCAGCCAGAACGTGAGTAACATCGTTCCTCCTATCCTAATCAATAATCATTTCTTCCTAACTATATTACTATTTCTCCACGCACGTTTCAACTGTCACTTGGAACAATTGCTCAGCTGCTGACGAGGTGCTGCGATAGTAATAGCAGCCTTGCTATAGTACATTGCACCTACTCCCGGGAGCCCCCGGGGGGGGGGGCATAAGCTCTTTCTTCAAGTCTCTGAACCGGAAGCAGCAAGCACCTCAAATTAAGCTGCTTAGTGAGCGGCTCGACTCAGACTTTGGTGCGATCAAAACACGTCACTCTCTGGTATCGATTATTGTGGTACGTTGATAGCTGTCGCATCGAAAACGAACATACCTCTTCAAGTTGCTAATAGATGTACGGAAAGATCCTATACGGTGTCCTCTTCGCCCATCGGTCCCACTGCTCCCCAAACTCTTTCCTCAGCACCTCGTCTTCCTTCCCCACCCGCCCTACTAGCATCGCCGGAATGTACAGCGACCACGTGGACCACACGACGGTGAACACCTTGCTCCACAGCGAGTCCCACCCGACACACTCGTGGAACCAGCCACCCGGGCTGACGTGGACCAGGATCGCACCGGCGGCGATCATTATGTTCCCGAGGTAGCCCGGGTGCCGGACGAACGCGTACGGCCCGCTCGTGACGAGCTCATGGTCCCGCCTGATGGCGAGCCTCCACGTGAAGAACTTGCCAAGCGTGCGGTAGCAGAGGAGGCGTAGTGCGGCGCCAGCGCCCAGGAGCAGGCACCCTGCGAGCCACGTCGGCGTGATGCGTATGTCGTGTGAGTGTTGGTGCGAGTCGCGGACGACATACGGCGCGAGCTGTGCGAGCAGCGTCGACGGGGAGTGCTCCGAGAGGATGACGGCGGACTCGCACAGGAGGTTGACGCAGTAGAGCGTCTTGGGGCGTCCGGCGCGTAAGTGCGTCGTAAAACTCGGATGGATTACTACCAGCTGACCTTGAGAGCGAGCACAGGTTTCCCCCCGATCCACTCCTTGCGGTCGCTGCCCTCGTACTTCTCACGCTCTTCCGCAGTAGGGGGCGGCACCTTGGGCGGTGTCTGGGCGCGCACGACGAGAGTCGTCGAGAGGAGCAGTAATGGTATCTTCAGCAAGTTGTTGCTCGCTCCATGAGGGCCAGGAAACCAGATCATCGCTGTGCAGAGTGATAAGCAAGAGACAGTGTGCGGGAAGAGAAGCCCGACGCTCCTTTATGTAGTGCAGCTATACAGCGTCCTCTCTACTTGCGGGAACTTCACATATTGACTTCTTGACATCCCAGTCGGGTTTAGGCCTAGGACGTCCCGCGGCTTCACGGCACCATTGCCTGCCGCGGCGGCGCGACAAACGGCCTGGGTGGGACCTAGAAATCCAGCTGAGGCATTCCTATCTCATGGCCCATGTTCACGTGCATATTGGCGTCACTGGAAAACAAACAACTCAAATTCTTATCGCCTCCATGTCCGGCCTCAGATACGTCTCGCTCACCTGTCTGTGTCAGTTGCGGCTTTCTCTCTGTGCCGAGGCGGCGCATCAGCCATACTGTCTCGACCGAAAGAGGCCTTGCTGTCTTCGAATACCATCAGCCCCGTGATACTCTAGAAACCATGGCTCCACGAAGAAGTTCCGAAGCAGCAAGTTCCCAGGCGACGCGCTCTCAACAGCGCCCTCGGGAGCCCTGGCCCTCAGGATCTGCCTATTATAATCTGCACTCAGTTCAACGCCAGAGTCAGCCGTCCGTCCTACAATCACTTCTAACATCCCACGTACAGGCACCAAATCGTCGAACAAGCAGCTCTTACGGTCTCCCCTGCGAGGACCAGCACCGTGGAAGGCTTCCGAAGCAAGGCCCGGTCCGCCGTATCACATGCGTGCAGCGTCAAAAATGATCACACATCCCCAATCCGCACACACATCAACAAGAATGTCCAGCAGCTCATCAATTATGGCTACAACAGATGGCGTTTCTACAATGAGGGGGCGGGTGGGGGGTGAGTGGGTGAGGGGGAGACGTCGGGGGGCGGTGGGTTGGGGGATCGTAAGTAGCGTGGGGGCGTTACAGTAGTAGCAAGAAGAAAACAGACACACAAAACAGAGTTCCGGCGCGTCCGTTCCAATTAGCAACGCACCCGGGCCCGTCCGCGGCCCGGGTGCGAGAAAGCGTATGATACACGCGTCTGCGTGCGCGTGCCTGTACACGTACGTGTACACATGTAGAGGGCCAGGGCCGCGAGGCCGCGGGCGGAGGCACTGGGGCACGGCAGAGACAGCGGCGATGGGAGCCTCAGCGGACAATGGCGGAGACGGCGTTTGCGGTGCGAGATGGCGGCAGGCTGTGGGTATTGCGGGTGTGCAAAAGACGATGAGATGAGAGAGGAGAACCGAGAGTGGGAGACCATTCATGTACAGTGGGCCAAAAATAATGATATGCGTGAGATGCGAAAACGAGATGCGCCGTGGGAACCCGAGGAGAGACGAGAGTGAGAGGAGAGACAGCGAGGAAAGCAGATAGGACGGGAGCGTGCGTGAGATCGTCGTGCGTGATGAGAGGTCGTGGAGGGGAGATGGCGTCAGCTTTCGTCCATGCGCACGTCGCGGTCGTCCTTGCGGATGTCGACGATCATCGCCTGGTTGCAGCTGCCATCGACTGGGCCGAAGCCGTCGTGGCTAAAGGAAAGTGTCCGCCGTTTCATGCCAGCGGTGAACATGAACGACGGAGACGCTTCGATGGTGCATGTTGGTGCCGCCGTGGGGAGGCTCTTGGGACCAATTTTGTGGACCGGCGGCGGTGCCGAGAAAACCGGTGATTTGGCTGTCGCAGCGATGGAGCTTATCGCTGCGGGTAGAGCCGTGGAGGGCGGATCGAGCTCGAGGTGAACGACGTCGCCGCCCTCGCTCTGTGCACGTGCATACAGCTTCTCACGGACGTCTTCGTCAGCTGTAAGGTTCGCAAGGGTTAGGAGAGCCTCCGCGAGCTATCGGGCGAATCAGCCTGTGACCTAAGGCGCGCTCTGATCGATAACTTACGAGAGGGGACAGATCCTCCTGGTCTGGATCCGATCTAGTCGTGGCGGAGCCTTTAGCGCGCTCGAGGAATGCGACCGCTGCAACAAACACATTGTGCACATCAACACGGCCGTAACGTCATACGTAAAAGGAGATGCATACCAGTAGCAAGACCTTCTCGAGCTTCCTCGGCTTCGGCGGTTTGGAGCACCGATGTGTCGCCGCGCTCGAGGGCATTCTCCATCTCCTCTGCACGTGCCTCGCCGACTACCAGCCAGCAGCGACCACGGGCGGCGTTCACAGCCATCCGCCACTCGCCAATGTCCGCCTCCATCTTCATTTGATTGAAAACAGAGTCGGCCTGGGATGCCCAATACTCGCGCTGGGACGATTGACTCAGGCGCTCGGCGACACCTAGTAGCTCAGAGGCGATGGTGAACAGCTCCTTTGGCCGCGAGAAAATCTGTGTGGATAGACTTGACGACACCGAGGATGGTGAGGTGTACCTGCGCGAATGGAAGGCGTGCGAGAAGCCCGTGCCTTCGAGGTAAGGGAGCTCCAGCTGGAGCGCGGAGGGGTTGTGCGTCGCCGGGTACTGGCGGTGCGGCATGTGGAAGATCCCGCGCGAGAACTGGTCCATAGCAAGCACCATGACATCGTGTGCACTGGCAGAGTACAAGCTCATCCGTCGCGTCACTGGTGGTCGTACAGCGGCGATAGCATGGAAAGGGGAGTTTGGCGGCCAGCGGGGCTCAACTGCGGAGAAGGGCCCAGGCAGCGGCTGGTACAGCAGATAGCCGTTCCTGAGGTCGGCCTGCGTAGGCATAGGAGGGGTCTTTTCTGACCGTAGACTATGCTCGAGCTTTTCGTCCGCGAGGCAAACAAGAGTCCGACCCCACGATACACACATGCGCCAGTCATCTGGTACAGACGTGCCGTGTGCGAGGACGCTGGGCAGATTCTCGCCGGTCTCAAAGATGTCGAGAGCGGCTAGCCAGTACGTCGATGCTGTTGATGGCTCATCGGGGAGCGCGAGACTCGCGTCGTGCGCGAGGATTGTGCCCATGTAGAACAGAGCAGTGCCGAAGAGCGCATGAAACGCAGTTGGAGGGTCCACTGCGCGAGATGGTATCTGAGATCGGTTGTGATGTGGCCGGTGACCTCGGAGACACGAGTTGAGTGTTTCGGGCGCCCAGTCTCGCCGTAAGCGTTCATCGGTCGGTGTGAGGATGTCGGGGGAACGAGGATTACTTGTTGGTGGTTCCCGTCCGGAGTAGACGATCGACGGGTCGGGATGCGCGACGAGAAAGCGATGGCATTCTCGGATGACCGCGCGCAGGAGCGGGAGAGCGTCTGCGATATCGTCTGCTGTAGGAACGATGGAATGTCAACGAGATGCGTCTCACGGAGAGTTGCCAAAAGGAAGCGTATATGTCAAATCAAGGGAGGGCTGTTCTCGAATCTGTCCGTGACGCGGCACGACAACCGCCCACAATACAAATTCGCATTGCCGCGCCGGAAGCCGCCAAGACCAGTGCGAGAACTGCAGCAGCGACACCTGCATCACGAGCGTGTTCACAAGTGCATGCGGGCATGGAAGAGCCTGCATGCACTTCGAACCACAAGTCCTGGACGCAAAAACGAAGGGGGGAAACAGGGAGAGCACCCCACGAGAAGGTTAACATGTTGGCAGGTTGCCCAGACGCATGCCGAGACCGGCCCAGCCGGCATCTCGACAGTGCCAGACGACACTCGACCACCACCGGTGATTAAGGGCAGCTACCGGGGGATTACGCAGTCTGCCTGTCTGCGGATGTTGGGAACGCCTCGCGCGCGACTTCCGCCGACTGCTCGCTGAGGCAAGCTGCAGACACCGTCGGCGGAGCGAAGCGCTTCGAGGCCGTTGACCTCACGAAGGTGTCGCAATTGCTGGGATGAGAATGCCGAGGAACGTACAGAAAGCGAGCTGACGCGGCAGCTCGCACTGCGTACACCCCAGGTCGCACCCCCCGCGCTCCTGCACGAGCAGCGGAGGCAGATTTTCCCAAAAACGGTTCCCGAACAATGATAGGATTGCAGTGATAAAACCGAAGCGCAGCACAAGGGAGAGCAATCAAGCGAAAGCGTACCTTCGTACGATTCAGATGCGCGCGCAAACAGCTCCTTCAGGTTCACCCAATCCTCGAGATCGCTGCCGCTGGGCTGCTTGCCCTTGGCCTTGCTGTTGATGCTGGCGTACTTGTTGTCCTTGTCCTGCATGCGGGGAAAGACAGAGCAGAAGGGGTGCGACGAGAGGCAGCTCAGAGATTGTGTCGGAAAGAGAGATGCATGATAGCAGAGATCAGGGGTGAGAGCGCGAGAAGACGGGCTGAGTTGGCAGAGGGTCTCAGAGTCGCTGAGCGCGCCGGAGAGCCGCCTGCGCTTGCTGCTGGAGGACGAGCTGCGGACGTCGTCGTCGTCGTCGTCAAAAGCAGTCTCGACGCTGCTCCTGCTCGAGGACGAAGCAAAGTCGCTCGAGACGTCGCTGAGGGCATCGTGAGAACGAGTTCCCGATTTGGTGCTGTCGGTGTCTCGGCAGCGGGCGCGCCAGAGTCCGCGTGGTCGTTTGGTGGGCAGCGGCGGGGACTGCGTGCGCGGGGGCAGAGGCAGAGGCATAGGCATCGGGGGCACGGGGAACAGGGCACAGGACGTGCTCGCTGTCGTGCGTGGCGGCGGGGAGTGTGCAAAAGCTGGGCACGGGTGGGCCCCGCACTGGTTTTATTCCCTGCATCGACTGGACGCTGGGCAAAGGAAGCCTAGCTTTGCGCGTGCCGGCATCCAAGCCGAGCGCGATCCAGACTCCAGGAGACTTGGGAGAGACCCTTGCATCAGCTATCCCCGTCGCGGTCCAATCGCACGGCGCCTCCAGCCCCGCGATAATTGGGAACCGACAGCTTCAAACACCGCCCCCATCGACCAGTCCAGATTCGTCGCCCCCTCTTTACCCACGACGCATCATTACCCCCTCCCACTGCACCCTCGAAGCTATTCCACTCCGTTTCGATTTTCTCTCGGCTGCCAAACGCCTTGCTGGCACTCTCCCAGCACAGCTGCTCGCCTCAAAGGGCAGAATATCCCAAATGAAGGAGCGTGTCCAGGTCGGAGCGACGACCTCCTCCTCCGGTCCCTCGCTTTGCTGCGCCACGCTGATCTCGATTCCTGGTCTGGACCGGAGAATTCCAGCCAATCCCCTCTCGATTTAGTACCGCGTCCAGACTCCCGATAGACTTCCCCTGATCGCAACGCGATAAGCGCTTTGGGACCCCGAACGTCTCTCGTCACGTAGTCCCGCAACTCTACCATTTCGTCGACGATTGCCACCGACCTCAAAGGTATGTGATCCTCGATGTCGTCTGTGCTAGACTGACCAACCTTGGCTATGCCATGTACGCTCAAGGTGCAGCAGTCCTGCGATTTTTCTCAGCCTCGAAACCAGACGATCGCCCGCCCTGGATTTACTCCCGCCCTGTCGTCACAGACGTGTAAATCGACTGCATTTATAATCCCTGCCGCTCGCCTTGACAAATCCCCTCGATGTAGAATGCCGTTATGAAACCTGTAGTGCTCTTCAGCTGGCGTTTTATTATGCGAAAACGATCCACATCCCTTTTCGAGGCCGTATCCCGAGCCGTCCGACGATCTGGTCAGGCGGGCGCACTCGATGTCGTCAAGGCCGCATGCCATCTTGCGCATTTGGGACCCAAACCTCGCGGTGCGTCTGCTACACCACCATTCTTGTCTTGCTCAGCCGCTCATCGGCGTCCGGCTCACTTCGGGTACAGGCCCCTGCACCAGTTACGGGCGCTGCCTTGATGCGCTCTGCATCGCCTGCGGCCCACAGTGCCGTCTTAGGAATATCAACATCACGCTCTGGGCTGGCCGTAGACCGTATCGCTGCGCGCAAGCACCGTCAGATCTCGCCTCGGAACACCAGTACAGGTAGCGATCAGTCTTATTTCTCATTGAGCGGCGCGACAAACCGAACAGTGCCCAGCCAGAGCTGGACCGTTCACACCAGTAATCCACGCGTTTTGGCCGCCTATCGATGCAAGAATGTCAGGTAAACCGCATGGTCCGTCTTACACGTAATGGGGCAGGACCGAGATCTGACTGTCCAGGTTTGTCCAGCATGGCACCTCCGGTGTCGCCTATGGTTGCCTCTTGGCGACACGCTCCCATATCCGAAACTAGGGACGCGTTTCTCCGTTGTCTATCGTGCCGCGGCAGACACGACGTCGGTAAGTTACGTCGACGCTTGTCCGAACCGGCTCGGTTCGGGCACTATTTGCGGTCTCTTTCTGGTCTCACCGCGCCAGCTCGACTGGGACGCTCCAGACCAGAATTGTAACAGAGTTTTGCGTCATATGGCTGCAGCACACGCAAGGCACTGACAAGACCATGGGCTGGAACGTCGCGTCTCTTGTTCTCTGCGGCCAGTGCCAGGGGTCTCGCGCGACCCAGCGCTCTGAGCCAAGACGTACAGCACGCTGCGCTGCCAGCTGATTGGCCACAGAACAATGGCCTGCTCCCAACCTGTCTCCGGCTGTGCAGGCTCCCAAGCTAGCCTGACGCTCTCTGCGTCCCACGAAGACGCGCTCGTGCGGCGCTGCTCAGCTGGACGGCCCCTAAGTCTGCCGACGACGGCTCGCTCGCAGGCGAGCTGTAATCCCCCAAAGTAAGTGCGTGCGAGCATGGCGTCCGTCAGCCGTCACGCGTCTGAGATCACGACGCCTGATGCCCAATGCGCGCGCCATGCGGCCCCTGCTGGAGCGGTGCGAAAGGTAACCAGGGTTCGAAGATGGCACGTCGGTGTGGGGGCAGCAGGCCAGCTCAGGTCGCGCGTGCGTATGTCTCATTTTTTTTTCCCATTCGCGCCGCGCGAACGCTGACAGGGCCCGCGGCGAGCGCGGTGCCCCGGCCTAAACCGTGTATGGGCTGTTCGTACGCTCGTCCAGACCCTGAAGGCCTGATTCCCCGCGCTGAGCGTGACCCTCCTGTGTTCCTCCCTTCAGCTTCCGGCGGCTGTCGCGCCGCGCGCGTGCCCAGCGTTGGTCCATGGGCCGTACCAACTGGGAGCCCTGCGACCGCGGCGTCCGGCACGTGTCGGAGAGGCCGCAGGCACGGCGCGGAGATATCGTGCGAGCTCGCCAGGCGACGATCTTCCGTGTCCAGCAAGACGTCACTGGCGGCCGCCCCGTTCTCATTGGCCGCAAAAGTCTGTTTGGAGGTGCGATGCGGGCTCTGACAGGCCGATCGGTTCATGTTCGCAGAAAAAGCAGAAGAGGGGCGTGCGCCAGTAAGCGGCGCGCGTGGGCACGACAGGCACCCATCTATCACCCAGCAGTGGCCACGCAGCAGCCGTGCACCCCATCGAAGCTGCTTGCTGTTCGCGCTGCGTGTCCGGGAACGAGCGGACTTAGGCTTCGGTATGACGTTGCGCACCGCCGCTCTATCGACCGTAGAAGACTGCCCCCTGGCTGTCGACGTAATGTTCGACTCTTATCTCTGTGTTTATTATGTCGATGAACCTATAGAAGGCGCAGAAAACTCGGCCTGGTGGAGCAGTGACGCTGCCACTTCCCCCAATCCTTGCCACACTCATGGCTCGCTAACACGCGCCAGCCGGTCTCTCTCTGAAGCTGAGAAAACCTCGTCTCAGGTACTCTCGAACCTTCGAAACCTCTCGACGAAGTCTCTGCTCCTTGCTCTGCCAGCTGTCGGGGCTGCGCACTTTCCCCCATCCCAGAGAAGCTCGACAGTCCCAAGCCGATCTCAGGTCCTCACCGCCTGCGCGCATAGATAGGCTGTTTTATCTCTCGCACGTGTATACTCGAGCTTGATCTTGTGATCGATTTAAATCTGCATTTGTGTTCATTACAGAGCGAGCCAAGATCATCAATGTGAGCCACAGCTCTCTGTTCGAGCACGAACCTACGACACTTACGGCAGCACTCCGTTGTGGCGTTGCGCGCGGGACTTTTGATGCGTCCGTAGGCGCATCAATTCGTCTCGGAGAAAGCCGCGCGCGACTATGCTTTAAGTTTTGGGGCAGTGCAGCCTTTGTCGCTGCGCCTCTCCATGTGAGCCATTAATCGAAATCCTTTATTCCAATGGCATCTTTCAGTTGCAGTCATCCTCTTTGAAGGCGTGGATCACAGTGGCCACGGTCATCCCCGGGCGGCTTCGGGTGTATAACCCCGATTCTAGGCAGCGGCAGTCCTCAGGCCTCAGGCTTGAAGCTGCGACTCGCATCCGCGAAATACTAGGTCAGTCGTCGCGGCGTCGATTTCGTCGATTTCGCCACGCTTCTGCCGGTCAACCCCCGCCAGTCGGTCTTGAGAGTACTTCCGGACGAGCCCGTGCTCATGATCTTTTGCTACTGCTACCACTTCGACTGCGGCTCGTTCCGCACGAGTCGGTCTGCCCCCTCTATGTCTGCCATCGCTGGTACTCGGTTTGTGTGCGTTACCACATGCTCTGGCAGGCTATGTCCTCTTCTCTGGGAAAAGACTGCTCATGCAACGTTAACTATCGCCCATGAAACCTGCCTCTTCGCGATTTCATTCCCTGCATAAGCTGCGCGTCTCATGGTACACCTGGGTTCTCGTTCGCAGTCAGATGGGCCTCAAGCCTGCCCTCTTGGTGTTCATAATGATTGTTGCTTGCCGACGGCGATAATGCCTCTATGCTACTCAGCGACTACTTCTCGTACGACCCGCCCCGCATCGCGAACATGCACATTGTAGATGATAGTTACTACGTTGGCGGGATGTCCGTCGCCGCCGACTTGGAGAAGCTCTGTCAAGAAACGGCTCCTGAGGCATGCGAACGCGAGGGTTGGACCGTCGATCTCATGGGCCTCTTGGCCGCTTTCCGCAACTTGTCGCGCCTGGCGTACTTTAGCGCGCCAGACCTTGCTCCCTGCTATCTCGACCAACGTTAGTCTGGCCAATGCAGAGAGAAACTGGCCTGTCGTCGCCGCTCTCCCTCAGTGTGTACGGCTCGGCCCTCGCGTACACCTGGTCTTCCGATCTCCTTGTGGTTCCGTAAATGCTTGTGGTGCACCTGACTGCGATATTGAGGAGCAATAAGACGTAGACATTACAGATGAAATGGTTCGTAACCCTGGCGCGCTCAGCATTGAGCTTCCGCCTAGCTGCTCGGATGCGAAGGAGTGAAAGGGCATACTGCCAAACTCCCGAGAGATTCGTACTGATCCTTTTGTTGAATGATATTAGAATCTCTGTTGTAGTTGGCGATATGCCACGTAGTAGCGTGTAGACCTCTCCCTCTGCGTTATCCGCGTATCCCCGGGGGGTTGATGCGCTAATTGATGCGCCTTAAGCTTAAGGGCGCATCAAACTCAAAGCTTCGACGCTCATAGCCAAAGCTCGACGCCAAAACGCCACCACTTCTGAAGTCAATCCTCACTGTTCCACATCGCAAAATCAGACGTCTGCTGTACCCCGCTTTCTGAACCTCCCTGCCTTTGTCATTGCTCATACGAGAGCTGTCAGTCTATATGCCAAGCAGCGTACTAGGAAAAACGCTCCCGTGGATCCTAGGATCCCTTTACTTGCACAAGACTTGGTGTGCCGGGCTTGGCTGAGCGTTTTCCACCGTAGGTCTGTTTTGCACACAACAGATTTCTGCGCAACCTTTTCTCCCGAACACCTCACGGAATAGTTGAACAGGTACTAGGTTGTGATCCGTGGCCTCAGATGTATGAATGTCCATGTCCAGAAAACGGTGATGATGGCACACGAAATCCGTAGGAACCACATAGCCTCTTTGAAGCATTGTAAGCCTTGCAAGCCGGACCGCCGACTGACACGGTAATAGTGCGATGTATGAAACGGTGTCGCAATGAACAATACGCATAGTCCTACGGTTTTCGACTGTTTGCCGCCTTGTACAATGCACGAACCCCATCTGAGTCTGAGCTTATAGTCCCTTGGCGTAAGGCAAGATTTTTCGGCATCGGGCACCCACTTTGTCCTTCCTATAAGATGTCGACCTATCTCCCGGCATCTACCCCGACCTCCACTTCCACCTTGTCTGGGATTGTGCGCTGCGTGGATGCCTTCGGCATTTCCGCAGAGACAACAGAACCACTCTCTGGTGCCCTTTTCTCCGTTGAGGGGAGTACCTCTTCCATGAAAGCAGCTATCATAGCCGCGGTTATTGGCGCAGGGACCTCTGCTCTCCTTGTCGTACTATTGGTACTCGTGGTGGTCTTGCTGCGACGAACGAAGGCAAAGAAGGTCGCACTCGGTAAGCAGAACGACATATCATACGCGTATCTCTCTGATAATTCGTTAGATGTGGAGAAGGGCGCGACACAAGACGATAAGGATGACAGCGTCATAGACATATCTGCGCACTCATCTCCCGTCGAGCCCGAGGAAAGCGGCACCCGCTGGCTCCACGCTCTTCCAAGTCCACGCACCTCCGTTCGCCACTCCCAACCACCGCCCTACCGGTCGCGACAAGGCTCTGCGGCCACAACGAACGGACACACCACCGTCACACCGTCCCCTCTCACGCACACGGACGTGCCGCCCGCCGAACTCACGCGCCGTCCGTCCCAAATGGGTATTGACGTACGGTTCCACCGGCCCTTCAATGTCCGCTCACATGTACCTCCCTCAAAGGTCTCTCTGTCGCCTCTGGAGGTCGCGGTCACGCCGGAGCCAGCGGACCGTCTGCCAGACGACACCCCCGACCCGCGCTCGCCGCTCGACCCCTCGCTCCTCGACCCCTCGCTCGAATTCACAGAGCTCTGGCTTGGGTACGAGCAGGATATCGCGGACCACAGCAGAGGGCACAGAAGCTATTCGTCGACCGCAGTCACGTCGTATTTTTCGCATTGAGTGCGGCACCTGACGGAAGGGCCCGCTGGTTCGGCGTCCTCACGCTGCTTGCCCCGCCGCGCACTGGCTGTCCTGTCTCCAGACAGTGCGTCCATCCACGCATATACCCTGGGCTGCTCGCGCCATGCGCAATGGACTGTTATGCCGAAACGTCAAGCACGTGCAGCCTACGATCAGTTCTAGAGGAACTTTGGCGGTAGGACACGATTTACTATGGTGCCATGGCGGCTAGATTAGTCAACGTGTAAGAATGCGTCGAGCAACAGAGATGTGTGCTACTTGATTTCGGGAACTTGCCTGCGTCCGCTCAAACTTACTTGGTCTACTCTTCTAAGATCCGTTATAAGCATGCGGCGCACCCACAGGACGGAACGTAGGTGAAATAACGGATTCAGCTACTAGGTACCAAGGAAGGGTCCAAGACAGGGCCAGGTACATACAGTATGTACGATATGATTGTATGATACAAAATTAGAGTAATACAAAGTGTACGTGTCATAACAAACCCCGAATAAGAATGTGGATCAAGAGATTGCATAGTTCAATAATATGAGAATGGTCGGATGTGTCGAGTTTCTGAATTGAGATACGGACGATGAGGTAGCGAAGTCAAGAAAATGCTGGTTGCGGAATGCGGTAACAGGTAGGAATGTGCAGGACTACATCTCCATGCTGAGCCTGTACTCGCATAAGTTGTGCAAAAATTCGCGCGAGAGTGAGTCCGCAGTGACACCGTACGCAGGCTGGGTAACCATGACGCCATAGTCGTCGTCTTCCCCGTCGCTATCGCACCCGAAAAACTCGTCTTCTTCCTCGGGGATGAAGAACTTGGCAGGCTTTGGCGGGCTGAACGCCGCCCAGAACGCCTTTTCGTCGACAGGACTCGGCAAGGGGCTGGTTGAGGGCAGGAGAGGATCTTCTTTGACACGAGCGAGGAGTACCTTCCAGCGTGCGACCCAGTCGATTTCCCATGAGCGGTCGCACGAAGCAGTCTCGTGTTTGCCGCCGCAATCAGTGCCGTCGCATCCGTACTGCTGGCAGCTCGTCTGCTCGTCTGCAACAAACGTCGACTCGCAGCTATTCTCAGAGCTGATAGTGTTGAGGGAGATGTCGACGAACGAGCTGCTGTCGTCGGTAGATAGGGCCTCGTCTGATGCGGACAGTGAGTTCGCAGTCGGCGAGTGGTTCGCGCGCTGGAGCATGTCGTGGAGGAATAGGATTTTGTTGATGCTGTTGAGCGTGAGATTGCAGAAGGCGCGGTCAAGGACTGCGGAACGCGCGTCGCGGAGAGTTGTCAGGTCCCCCGTGCGCGGATAGATGGGCGCGTTAACGTTCGGTGACGAAGTGGGAGGTGCTCTGGCGCTATGGGCCAAACGAAGTCCTGGCCGCGATAGTCGGGAAACGAGGGCAGCGCGAAGTCCGTCTCGGGAGCGTGGCAGTTCTAGGATACCGCCGTAGGGGCTGGCCTCAGCGAGCGCTAGCTGAGCCTCGAGCTTTGCGTACTCGCCCTGTCGCGCACTCCAGAAGCCCTTGAGATGCGACAGCGCGCTGCGCGAGAGGCCGTGGTCTGCAGGCGTTAATAGAGTGTACGAAGCGGAAGTCGCGATGGGGGTAGCAACATGGTAGTAAGAATCCACCTCGGCAGGTTCGTGGACTACTGGGAGCTGCATGGGGATATTGGAGAGCGAAATGGTCCTGGAGGGAAGAGCAGGCTTGTGGCCTGGGGTAGAGGCATCCGACGGCTCAAAGTCGTCGAAAGAGTCGCTGCCTTCGCTGCTGGTGGATGAAGAGGGAACAAGGAGCGCACCGGCAAACTCCCACTTTTCATCGTCGTCTTCGCCTGATGCGCTCTCGAGCCCAAAGTCACTTGATTTGCACATCAGCGGTCGCGTGAACCCCATGCGGCTGGGCGACCGCTCAAGTTCTTCCGTCATGATTATGTCCGTACTCATGGCGCGGGTCCGCAGCGTCCAGGGCAACGATTGTCGTAGCAGGGTGTGAACGAATGGAGCATAAAAAGAGCGTGAGGTCCAAGTTAAGAAGGAATGGAAAGGTCAAAGGCGTCCAGCCTTGTCGACGTCGGGCTCAGGAGCAAAGGCAAAGGTCAGAAACAACATCCAAAGCAAACAACCAGCGGCATTGGGCGTCTATAGTATGATCCGGGCTCCGGGGGTCCCGCGATGCATGCATTCATAACTGGGATTTCCGTCGGCGAGGCCGCCGGGGTCCTCATCCTCCGAGATCCTGCCTTTACCGCCACCTGGCTGACAGGTATCGTTTTTCTAGACCTGAATGAAGTCGTGTCGCTCAAAAGGTTGTGTGTCAGGGGTTTGTCAGACCAACACTGGATTGAGCATCACCCCTGCGCCACAATGCGTGGCCGCTCCTTGATATCCAGCTGCCAGACATTGATGCGACACAGCTCGGAGGGTAAGAGACAACTGCACGCTGTGGCTGCGCAGGCCCCGCGACCTGAACAGACTTTGGGACCGGCTCAATCCTGTGTACGCAGTTTTATGAGACCTCTTGCTGTCATGGAAGTTTCGTATTTTGCCGATTTTTGCCCCGGATCTACGCGAAAACGGTCTTTCTCTTCCCGAGCACTCTTTAATTTCAATGCGTCATCGCGGAAGTACTACTTTGACTCGCTCAGCATATTAAGTTACCTGTGAGTGCGGTGGACACTCTCCGGTCCTCTGCCAGTGCTAACCATGCTTCAGATTGATCGCAGACTAGATATCACCTTACTAATGCTCGACTAGGAAGTGCAAGTTATCCGATGCAGGAAGCGTAAGGTGTCGGTCATATTGTCTGTTGGCAGTCGTTCCAGTCTCCTATGCTGTGCGATGAATGTATTGCTGATGCGTACGGGCTCTAGTCCCCAGATTCGCAAGTGTAAGTTCCCGAACCATTCGCCAGGCCCACTTTGCTAACAAGGCTCTATGCCAGCCGTCGGTGCAGAAATTTCCCACTCGGCAAGTCTTTGGTACTGATTCTGCCCCGATTAAAGACCTTTGGTCAGTTACGAGCGCCGGGGAGACTACATATCATCGCATCGCTGAGCGCCATGCTGCTCAGAGACGACGCGCCTCATTTTGTGTACGTAGCTCTTTGTCCTTCTAATAAAATGGAGACCTTTGCCGCGCAGCGTGTTCGTCATCCTTTCTCAGTCCATATTTGTGTGTGCCACCCACCACATGCTCCTCGCTCTATCGTACTGAACGTTAACTTAGCATGACATCTATCCTCGCATTTCGTTTTCTGAACCTACGTCGGTCAGGCAAAGGTCCGACGACGGCACGTGTGCTCCAATGCGGTTTAAGTGCAGGCTAAGATAGCGTTCGCGCGATCACCGAGGTATTTGGCGAGCCTGCACGTCCACTACCCAAATACACGTGCGTCTTCTGGAAGCGCTATGCTGCGAAGTCTACTACAAGCATGTTCGAAACGGTAGGCAAGTGGAAAACTCTTCTGCGAATGTAGAGTATCTGAATGAGCTTATGCACAGTCCTTGTTTTTCTACAGGTTCGTTGGTGGGCAGTGAAGTGTAGTGTTGTGCGTCGACCAGCGAAAAATCTTGTCCATCTACACCCTCTTCATACTCCAGCTGGCGTGTTCCCATGCCGTAGACCCCCTCCAGCTGCCCATGTCCGGCATCTCGCGCAGATCGGACGGGCCTCTGACAGAGCCGACAGAGCCACCGTCCTCCGAGGATCCACTCTACTCATGACTCATCAAAGTCTGACCGTTCGTTGGTGTATGTGTCCTTCTGCGCTGGTCACGTTTCTCACATATCATGCCAGGGATTGGTCGGCACGTATGTCGTATCTTGGCGGAGACCGATATCGCAACCCATGCCGAATCATTCCCAGATATCCTACTGCCAGGCACTGATATCCCTGCAGGGCACGATGCCCGCCGCGCCACGGCCGGAAGATAGGCGACCGCTTGTCATCCAATTGCAAGCCGCCCTCCTAAAATGCGTTCGTATAGCTTTGTTCTGGTTGAGCTGGGCGAAACTTGGTATTGACTCACTCTCGCGTTATGGTCTGCTAAGACTTCCGACTGTCATGAAATCGCTGTTCATACCATGAAGCCGTACTCGATGAACCGAATTGCTTCCAAAAAGATTGTCTTCTATAAGGGCATCGTCGCAGATGCTGGAGCCTTGTGCATCCAAGATGACGAACTGTGACTTCGTACCACTCACCAAAACCCATGAAACGTGAGTTCTCCGACACGATATCTGTCTGAGCTTTCCTTACACTTCCTCAGACTCTTTGCCAATAATTTGAACGTCGTTATGAGCGGTATATGCTTTTCCATATCGCATTTTTTGCACCGTTTAACTTAGGCCAACATCAGCACTTGCGCTATACGAACACTCGATCACATTCGATGAGGAAATCAAAGTCATCTGGCAAAGGAAAAAGAATCTAACCACAGTGCTGTTTCTCTGCAACCGCTACAACGTTCTGTGCAGTGCGGTGATGTTCCTATTGATGTCCATGCACGTAACTCAGAACTCCGCGGTATGTTTCTCCGTCATCGATAACGGCCACACTGACAGTAGTGAGTCATAACAGACGTGAATGAATTATATTATCATGTCCGACAAAGCTGTGTCATATCTGCAATATGTTCTTTGTCTTGAAAAACTTCATCGACGTCTCAATAATTCTTGCATACTGCTTGACAGCAGGTGTGTTTGGGATTCTAGCTGACCGCCAACAGTTCCAAAGAATATTTTTATAGTGTTCACCGCGCTTTGAATATACGTGCTTTGGGATAGAAGCACAAAATTGTTCTTTCCCATATTGATGCTTGCTCTTGCGCCTGCTGTAACTTCTGTGGTACGTTCCATCATATTCACTCATTCAGTACCATATACACTTGGCAACATGTTGGCATTGTAGATATGTTTCGCTGTGGCCAGTTCGGGTCCAAATGTAGTACTTCAATTGGACGAATCGTTTCGGTGCATTATAGGGCTCGCGATGGTCCCCGAACGTCACCTGCAGTAAGTCCAGCTTTTTCCTGATACTTCAAGATTCTGGCTAATGAGTTTGTAGACGCAAGTCTCGTTTTTTGCCACTTTCTTCGTCTTTACTCAATGACGCCTTGGTTTTATGCAGTTGTCTGGGCGGGACAGTTTCCGAGTCTACTCGCAGACGCTTTAGTCTTAATCCTTACGTGGAAAAAGACTTTTGGCCAATTCCAAAACGCAAGAAAGTTACATATCAGGACGCTGAGCTCCCTAATACTGCGAGACGGGACACTTTATTTTGTGTGCATGGCCGCTCGTCCCTTCTAGCCGTAGTTGAACTAAGAGCTCCTACAGCGTGCTTGCGGTTCTGAATATTGGCCAGCTGATCGTCGCGCGGTCCTTGTGCCTCTCTGATTTCATATGCATGTACGCCACTGACAGCACCTCGTGTCCTATGTCCTACTCCTCACACTAAAGTAGCCTATCGTCCCTGCTTGTATCTCGTTTCCTCTTGAATCTGCGTCAGGCAGACGAGGGTTTGGCGGCAGAGGGAACAGCAGAACAACCGTCGAGCCTACGCTCCTTCGACATTGTGGGTCGCGAAGGCAATATTGGGGAGCCTCTGATGCTATGCAATGACGAGGATGTCTGGGAACATGACACTGACTTTCGTGCAGTGTTCAATCATGGCGATGCGCGGTACAGCGGCTACGAACATGATCGAGATAATGTTGTGGCTATTCAGGAGGTTCGAGCTTCATTCATGTCATGGCCGCGTAATTCATGACGCTAGAAATTTTGTCTCTGGTCACTTGCCGTGGTTCAGTTAGTACAATATGATTGCAAACGAGGATCTCGACACTTACCATTCTGCAGAGATCTGAGGAGGCAGTTCTTGGTGGATAGATGTAAATACTGCATATGTCTCACATGGTTATCTCGTAGAAATGCGATGTGGGATAATAAGTTAAGCTAAATATCAGTACAATCCTTGCTACGGACGCTCAGCATCTTACCCCAATTAAACGAGGTGTCCGTGCTGAGCGCTAAGCGCCGAGGACGAGGAGCGTTCAACACGGCCTTCCGCTTTAGGAGGATACACTTGTGTTACATAATCTAGCGCCCCCGGATCTCCCGGTCGCTCGTTCTCTAACGACCACTTCTACGCGACTCACATGTATCGCATACCGCGTCCGTATTTTCTCACAGAATATGTCTAAGCGCGTAATATAGCCAAGTTACCTTTTGGTACCTCAGGAGTTCTGTCCCCCTTTCAGCTCATGTCTGCGTATGCTACCCGCCACATGCTCCTCACTCCACTGCGCTGGCGCCAACTCGGCCTGTCAGACGTCTATCCTTGTGTATTGCTTTCTCCAGGACCTACGTCAGGTATGCGAGCACCCGTTGACAGAATGGACGGTACGAGGATTATCAAGCATGACGCTGCCGAATGTTTATAGCGGGCCTCAAGGGTGTCATGAATATTACATATTCCAGATGGTTCTCCCGGATTCCACAGTATTCTTTTACTTTCTATACACCTCCGTATATTTGTAGGATAATCTAGGCATTGAGTCTGACATGTATATAAGGAGCTCGTACTGCTCAATAACAAGCCAGACTCGAGCTGGTCTTTCCTCACCTATTCTCCTCTCGTCTGTCTCCTCAGCTTTGTCGTAGCCCAGTCCAGTTGGATTGTAGGTTGCTGACATTAGCTCGAGTCTCCACCAACTGCCCTACGATGATCCTCATCACTCCCACTCCAACCATCACCCATCTCCACACGACGATCCACCCAATACACACATTCGACTCTCACCCTAACTCCTAACCCTACCAAATTCTATCGCATCAAGACCCGGACCCCTGGAACCCTTTTCCGTGCACTTGCACAATTTTTACCACATCACATCCCCGAAGTCACCTCTGTAATCACTAGCCCTTAGGCGGCTGGACAGAGCTCCATCTTATTAGAATTGTACCCTGCCCTACCATAGGCGGCGTTACATGCTTTGCAGCAGGCAAGCGGATATTCCTGAGTACGACGTGGCAACTGGTTGCGGCCAGGCGTCGGAAAAGCGATAGCAGTTAGATCGACGATCCCTTTCCGGGCGTCGGACCGAAGAGACATAATCGCTCTTTGGGCTGCTATAGTATC